CTGAATGTGTTTAGCTATGTTCTGAGGACTACGCCGCTAGGATAATCAATGCGATGCCAATGAGCCTTTAGCATGCTGGCTGGTGAACATTTGACCACGTTGGTCTGGCATACCAAATTGGTTGGGCTGTGTGCAGAGAGGGTGAACGGCTGATGCAAGGCTTCTGGAACGACCAGACTTGGAGACAGCAGGGCGGGATGTGTTGGTCAGCCTGGCTGAGCTGCTTAGGCCGGCTGCGGCTGCGCTGGCTCGGGGGCAGGAAGGGCGCTGGAGGCCTCCGAGGCTCCAGCCGAATGCGAATGAACACCCGAGCGAAGCTAGCCACACGGAACAGGCCATCACGGCGAACGAGTTGTTGCGATTGGACGGAGCTTCCTGTCACCAGCACCGTCCGCGCCATGCCGATCGGAAGCGAGCCAGCACGTTCGGCATGTGCGTTCTACCGATTGCGCACCCAGAGCCGACCAGCTCGCCTAGAATGAACTTCGCGGGTCGAGCACTGGCAACTCATCGTGCGCTGGAAGCGAGCCAACACGATCGAGATGGCTCTCCGCCGACTTCGCGTTGAAACCCATCTGACGCGAGCCGGCAAGATCGTCTCCACGCAAGATCGGCTGAAGCGAACTGGCGCGCCCGGAACGATCTTGCAACCAAGACCGCTGGTAACGCAATGGCCGATGAACGCCAACCACGAACGGGCAAACTCGACATCACACTCGCGGGAAGAAAACTGGTAATGTGATGAGCACCAGCACCGACCTGCCGTTATTGAACTGCACTTTCAGCCCACTTCGCTTTCATGCCCACTTGCCGCCGGACGCCAGCCTGGCAAGGTCGAACGAGACTCCCCGAGCTATGACTTCCAGCAGCGTAGGCAGCGCGAAGTTCAGCGGAGGCAACGCTAGTATGCTCACAAGCACCGTCCGACCGACAATGCCGGCAGCGCGATGTGCGTCGGCCGCGAGCCTGCCCGCGTGCAGCGAGGATCCTCCAAGAACGGGAAGGGGGACGGGACGAAAGTGGGCAACACGTCGTGCGAATCCACTGCAACCCGCTGGATTAAAAAGTGGAGGCCGTGGGGATCGAAGGTCGAAGCTTGAAGTTAAGTTTTTCCGATTGGCGAGGACCCAGGGGTTGTCCCGTGCCATAGTGCCGATCACCACTTTTTAATCCAGGGGGTGGTAGGTAACCCTAAGCAATCAGGGACAAGTGCGCACAAGAAGCCGAAAAAGGCCCACGGGGGGCCTCGGATCACATGATCTTGCACCTGCTCCCAAGCAAGGCTGAGGTGAGTCGCTTCAGACATCAGGATCCGAATCCAGCGGCATTTGTACACTCAATGCTGCACCGATGAAAGCTGATCCCAAAATCGTTACGCCCGAACCCACCGAATCCAAACGATCAACGCTTTGCTCATATGCGCCGCATTCAGCACCCTACAGACAATAACCTTGAACGCCGCATGCCAACAGTGAATGACCCTCCACCGTGCCGTGGGCGCAACGTGGAGTGCAGCTGCTGCTCACACCGCTGCGACTGTCGGATCTTAGGGGGTGCGTTGTACTCGAATCCCGATCTCACGAAATCTCCAAGGTGTACATGAGCCTCCCACGGGGAAGCAGCGTTGGAAGCCCTCGGCGCTTCAGCAAATCTGGCCTCAGACGGCGCGCCGGGCCACGTGCCTAGGACTGTTGCCGCCGACGACGCCCCCAAGACCTTGCAAGTCACGGCAGCGGGATGGGCCAGAGGCCACCGGAGAGGTAGTCATCGTGCGAGCATGCGGAACGCCGAATTGGGAGCGAAGGGGCTTTTCTGGCCACTTCTAGCTCGGCCACGAGTAGGTTCCTCGACATAGATCGAAGGAACGCCTCAAGAGCTAGAGCTCCTTCCACGCCTGATGTGGTCCTCCTTCCAGCGTCTTGACTATGGAGGTAAACCAGTGGCACAAGCTGTGCTACTCAACGCGGTCATCAAATCCCTAAAATTAACCACACACCTACGTGCGTTCTTCAACTCCAGATGTTAGCACGCTGAACTACACATGTGAGTTCCGAAACCCCGGACACTTTCAATGCTACATCGGAAGACGCGCCACACCGAGTACACGCCTATACCGTAGAACCCTAAACAGCGATAGCCAGACACCATGCAACCTGATCCCCACAAGCAGCATGCCCCTCGGCCGCAACTGCTGGAAGCGAAACCGAAATTCCACCGCCAACGTCTCAACATTCCCCAACATCAATCCAATCACACTTGTATGATCAAAGTGAAACTGCAAGACAACGCACCCCCCCACATCATTCAACGCTGAACCTGGACACCCTCACTGTAAAACTGTTGTATACGAATCCGCCACCGTACCTGCAACTCGTAGTAGATTGCCTTAAGGCTCATACAGTCGAGTGCCGAATAGAAAGCGATTCTAGGGTTTATCAGGGCGTCCGCCTGCAACTCGCCAGATCCGCCGACCCCTTGGGGATCATCGGCGTGTGAGATGCTTCCCCCTCCCCAAACCCCTCCCCCGGGAGCCCGGTCCGGTCGATTTGGAGGGGGGGGGGGGTCCGGGACGAGCGCAGTTCACGGGGCTTTTCCGGGCCCAAGAGGGCCTCAAGACGGGCCAAGAAGCCCCCAAGAGGCCTCCAAGACGGCCCACGAAGGCCCCGAGACGCCAAACGACCGCTCCAAGACGCCCAAGATGGCCCCAAGACGGGCCAAGAGGTCTCCAAGACGGCCCCCGAGGTCCCAAACAAGCCTCCCAAGAGGGCCCCAAGAGTCTAAAATTGTTGATTTTCCATAGTGTTTTTCGATGTTTTTTGCTTTTCCGCCTTTTCGGCTTCCCGACGCTCCAAGACGGCCAAAGAGGCCCCAAAGACAGCCCCAAGATGGCCCAAGAGGCCCCCAAGACGGCCTCCAGACGGCCCAAGACGGCCCCAACACGGCCCAAGAGGTCCCCAAGACGGCCCAAGAGGGCTCCAAGACGGCACCAAGAGGGGCCCAAGAGGGCGACCAAACATGTTGAAACTCTAGCTTTCTGCCCCCAGGAGCCCCAGGGGGCCCCAAGAGTGCCCCAAGAGGCCCCCAGAGGCCCTCACGAGGCCGCCCAGACGCCCCAAGGAACCCCCAAGAAGCACCCCAGAGGCTCCGAAACGGCCCCCAAGTGGCTCCAAAACTCGCGGTGTCGCCGTCCGCTCGGACCCCCCCGCGGAACTGCCCGAGACCCTCTGGCGGTGGCGGCGAACAGACACCAAACAAATATCACTCGCCTTTTCACCCCTTCGCAGCTTCTACTACCCCCAGATTGGCATAAACAAGGGGTCGGCGGTGTGGCGTAAGCCTAAGAATCTACCCATACCCCAACCTCCCCCTCGGACGACTTCTGTTGAGCCAACCTCTATCGACTCCGATCTGTCGAATCGCCAAGGACCGTCGAACCCGCTGTATCGAAACCGTCGAATCACCGTCGAACTGGGTCTGATGAGTCGGCACTGTCAAACCAGATCTGTCGATTCGGTGTAGGTAGAACCACTTCTTATCGGCTTGGCTTCCCGTTTTCCCAGACTTTGCTGGCACTGCCCTGAAGGACTGGTCTCTGGTGTGCTGGCTTTCTGTATTTCAGACCTCCCTGTCGAGGAGGACGAGGAGCACGACTCGCGTCTGGATGCCGTCGCCTGCAGGCGGCTCGCCGCGAGCCACCTGCAGGCGTGGGCGTCCGAACGTGCTTCGCCATTGAGAGGCATGAGTTGCCCGTTGTGTTACAAGAGGGGGGATCGGCTTTTGAGTTACCGGTAATTCCCTGTTTGAGCTTCCCTATAATCTCCATATAATTTCCCTATGATTCCCTAATTCCAATAATTTCCCTTCAATTTCCCTACGCCCCCTATAATTTCCATATAAATCCCGCCTAGTCCAACTAATGATTACGGGCGTCAGTTATACTCGGTCTTACATGGTTAGCCTATATTCCTATATTACACGTAGAGGGGGTGGGGCTACAGGAAAACGCACCCATGGACCTCAAAGGCCTACAGGAGCCCTGGGGAGCCACAGGAGGAGGCACGAAAGGAGGCACTGGAGGAGGCTCTCGGCGAGGCGCAACTGCAGGAGAGCAACCCGAGCTCCCCCACCCCTCGCCCCACATGATTTTCATTGCTGGGGATTACCGTCCAAGAGTTCGGGGATTACCGTCCAGAATTAACGGAACTCCTGGGGACCTCCCGGGGCCCCACCTCCCGGGAACTCTTCCTGATAATTTCCCGATGATGAAACGGATTAAAACAATCACAACGAATTACCGGGAAGGCCCCCAACGGGATCCCGGGGCCCCACCTCTCGGGACCTCCCGGGAAACTTGTCCCTAATGCCTGGACGGTAATTCCCGCTAATTCGGGAACTCCCGGGATCTCCCCGAAACCGGAGATGGAGGGCGAATACGGAGATTCTCCTCCTCCTCCTCCTCCTCCTCCTCCTCCTCCTCCTCCTCCTCCTCCTCCTCCTCCGTCTCCTCCTGTATGCAAACGCACCCATTGGGGCCTTGGAGTCGAAAAGTAGCAGATAAATGATATACAAAGCAATTAACGGGAATGCGAGACAATTAACGGGAATACGTGACAAGACAACTAACGGGAAGACAAGACAATTAACGGGAAGACAAGACAACTAAAGGGAATGCAAGACAATTCACGGGAAGAACTGACGGGAAGGGAAGAATTCAGGGGAAGGGAATTTAAAGGGAAATGTAATCAGCCCAAAACCCGATCCACCCCCCTAGTAACACGACGGGCGCGCTCAAGGCATCAAGCAAGTCCTGGGCAACGACACGCGTGCTCCCTTTCCCCACCTCCCGCCAGGAAGGAAATCATCTCTCAGCCCGGAGCTGGCCGGGCAGGGCTGGGCCCCAGGGCGCGGGGCCGACAGTGGATATCCGCCGTCGCAGCGGACGGCGCCACGCGGACTCGCTACGGGGGACCTTTCGGAGAGGCGGGGCCCCGAGCCAGACGTCAGGCCAGAGTCGCCGTCCGCGCGGTCTCTCGCATCATGAAGGCTGCCACCAGCAGGGTGGTGCAGAGCGGGAGGGCCATGGCGGCGAGAGCCAGCGCGAAGGACCTGGCCAGGAGCGCGCCGATCAGCGGCGGGGTCAGCCCGCCCACGATCATGCTGCACATCAGGCCCAGGCCGCCGGCGGTGGCGCGCAGGCGCGTGGGGAAGACCTCGCCCGAGTAGACCGGGACGATCGTCCAGACCTGATGGGCAACTTTCCCACCACCGCGACCATGGGTAATCAGGACGGGGGAGGACATGGATGATGGGGAGGTCCCCCTCCTCCTCTGCTGTCTCTTCTTCCTTCCTCTTCCACCTATTTGGGCGCCCGAGTTATCCGGGGTAACTCGGGCCCAGGGTAACTCGGGCTTGGATTCCCGAAAAAACGAACCCGAGGTAGCCCTGACCCGAATCATCCCTGATGGGGCCCTGGACGCCCGAGTTATCCGGGGTAACTCAGGCCCGGGGCCACTCGGGTTCGGATTCCCGAAACACGAACCCGAGTTGGCCCTGACCCGAGTTACCCCTGATGATTCGGGTCTCTGACCTATGGTGGTGGTGGTGGTGGTGGTGGTGGTGGTGGTGGTGGTGGTGGTGGTGGTGGTGGAACATTGGCCCATCGAGACCAGGCTCTGGCAGCACCCCACCAGCAGCCAGGAGAGGCACCCCACCGCCGGCGAGGGCCGCAGCAGCAGCACCGCCAGGACCAGGAGGCCCACCGCGCCACCGAGCATCAGCAGAGGCCTCCTGCCCGCGGAGTCCGCCGCCACGGCGGCGAGAATGGTGGAGACTATACCGACGACCTCCATCCCTTCGGCGGCGGGCGAGGGGGGGGAAAGGGGAAGGATAAGGCCCTCGCGGAAGGCAGCGGGACTTCTCAGAGGCTCTCGCGCCTCCTGAACAGCCTTTTTTCTGCGTCCTCGCGGGGACGGCTTGCAATCTCTTCCGGAGGCCGGGGGGGCTTCCGAGCCTTCTGAGAAGGCCCGCCCCTTCTCGCGCCCACCCACCCCGCTCGCCGCCGGCACCTACAAAGGTCCAGAGAGGTGGCTTCTCGCCGGTGGCAGTCTCCACGAGGTCTGGGCCGAACGCCCAGAAGGAGAAGCCCTGGGCGCCCGCGCACGCGAACAGCGCACAGACCGTGGCGGTCTCCCACCGCAGCTCGGGCGACGCCATCTCTCGGAGGACGCGCGCGGTCTGCTCCAGCGGGGTCGCGGGGCCAGCTGGCATCTGTCGGGGACAGGGCTGGACCTAAGCGCTGTTTTTCGTGATGTTTCCGTGGTGTGCTTCGTCTTGCCCTACCTGCTCTCCGGTACCTCCCTGCCAAAGCGAACCAGAAAACACAGCCGAAGTCCAGCAGCACAGCTTTTAGCTCCAGCCCTGGCCGAGGAAGACACGCATGACACAACACTCTGAACATGCTTGGCGCCGTCCCTAGCGCGCTCCGCGCGCCGCGGGAGGGAAAGGTTCCAGCGCCGAGCCAAGACTTCCGCACGCACCTCGGAACATCGATGCTTACGCTGACTTGGGGCGCGCCAGGGGGGGGGACCGCCTCCCGCCTCCCGCCTCCCTCCTCCCTCCTCCCTCCTCCCTCCTCCCTCCCCCCACCTCCCTCCCCCCTCCTCCCTCCTCCCTCCATCGAGCTGGAGTCGGCGAGACGCCCGTCGCCGACAGCTCGACGATGTGCCCCCGGCGAGTCCGCACCGCTCTCGGGGCAGCGTGGGCCCCCGATCTCGGCGAGGGGCGGGCGGTCGGGGGTCAAATGCGTCCCCCCCGAGCCTGCGGGACGCTCGCCATCGCTCGGACGTCCATTCCCTGTGTTGTTTGTCGGCTTCGTGCGTGGCTTTTTCGCCACATGATCAAGGATGCTCCTCGATTGTCCTCGCCGAAGGAAAAAATACACACGTCCGAGCGATGCCAAGTACGTTCGTGCGGCGTCGGCGCGCACAGAGGTTTCTGCCTCCGCTTCGATCGTTCAACCTTGGAATCGATCGCGGCCCCGCTCGATCAAGGCTGAACTCCGTCGGGCTCTCTGGCGTTGCCATGTCCCTCGGTGCATCCGCGCCGCTCTGTCGTGCGGAGCTCAGCCTGGAACGCCTTCGCCGACGTCGCCAGCGCGCCATCGCCGCGTGAGCCGACCGTCGGGCCTACCGCATTCCCCCCGCACGCTGCCCCTGAGGCTGGCATGAGGTCGGGCATGCCCTCTTGCAGGCGGATTTTTGAAGAAAAATGGAAGTAGTCAAGAAATCTTGAACCATAGTCATCAATAGTCAGGCAATCGTCCCCGGACAATTTTTTATTTTTTGATTGGGTGCTTCTCCATAGAGACCTCCTAGATTGGGTCTGGATAGATGGGGTTGGAGGACTCCGACTTACGGCTGGCACCCGAGCCTGGGCATGTCCTCCTGCAGGCGGATCTTGAATGACAAATGAGAGCAGTCAAGACATGTTGACCAATAGTCA